AACATATGATTGAATTGAGGCGAAGAGTGGTGTGAAGTGCGGATCAAATGCAAGCAATCGATGGTTTGTTTGCAACACTTTTACCGCAAAAACAAAATGAGTCTTAAGTTTGCATTCATTTCAATGGGTTTTCACTGCAATACAACTCCACAACAATAACGTTACCAAATGGGGTGGCGTTCAGTGGATTTGCTTTCAATCCTTCAAAGTGTTCTCAAAAATCAGTGCCGTTTCACACCTTATTATCCGCCCCTTTGGTTGCTTTCACTGTATGTCTTATGCTATACTTTATATGATTAGATGTCTAGTAATACAGTGAAGCGAACCTTATAGTACAAAGAGGTGATTGTGACACTTTGATGGTGTGTGTGTTGTTGTGTTGGTGCCATGCATTTGGTGTTTGGTGTGAAAGTTCACTCATAGGCAGTGTATTGAGCATTGAATTGAAGGTCAATATTGTTTGCAATGAATAATAGCTGACACAACAAAACACATAAAAAAGGCTATTCTTTGGCACCAATTGCTTGCCATTGACTTCGCACTGAATATGAGTACAAATTGAATGCAATCTAAGCCGTGATTCACATCTTGAGGCCAACTGTGAACACAATGAGTGTGTTATACATTGATAGCTAACACCTATCCATAGCTATAGTACTGAATGTTTGTGTGATTACAGCATAAAGTGTATGCGTTTTCAATGTTTGTTGAGTTGAGTGACTCCATAGCCATTGCAGTGAACCATACATACAGTATAGCATTGATTGCAATACGCAATACGTGTTGAGTCCACTTGTGTGATTACAGCATAAAGTGTATGCGTTTTCAATGTTTGTTGAGTTGAGTGACTCCATAGCCATTGCAGTGAACCATACATACAGTATAGCATTGATTGCAATACGCAATACGTGTTGAGTCCACACCACCACACGATTGTCACCAACTGATCCACAACTGATCCACTATACATACCTGAGCCATCACCACCACATCACCCATACAGTCACCACGAACACCATCACCACCACCGCGAATGCGAACTCATCCACCAATTGCTGTGTATTGTCATTATCACCAACGGATCCCGATATCACTGCACAGACACTGATCCACAGCCACCACCAGACACAGTGATAATGCCTTTATAACAGTGTCTCGCTCTGTGTTGTCTGTGTTGACCAATACTCACGAGGAGGACAATGGAGTTACGAGTGGGCAATAAGTATCGATTGGGCCGTAAGATAGGTTCTGGATCATTTGGGGACATATATCTCGGTATATATGGCTTACATACTGCTTTAGGCTGACCATCCGTGTGTCGGCCATTGGTGTCCATGTCTTAGACTCCATGTGACGTGTGTTTGCATTTCAGGCACAAACATCACCACATCGGAAGAGGTGGCCATAAAGTTGGAGTGCATTAAGACAAAGCATCCGCAGCTCCACATTGAGTCCAAATTCTACAAACTGATGGTCGGCGGAGGTATGTGTTAGCGGTGGTCACCACCACTCTGTGGTCACCCAATGTCTCACTCATGTGTTTGTTGTGCCGTATCTATAGTGGGAATACCAGTAATCAAATGGTGCGGAACCGAAGGTGATTACAACGTAATGGTTATGGAGCTGTTGGGTCCGAGTCTTGAGGATCTGTTCAACTTCTGCAGCCGAAAATTCAGTCTTAAAACTGTATTACTATTAGCCGACCAATTGGTGCGTTACCTCCATCTCACACGTAGACAATGTGACGACTAACTGTTTGATTGCAACCACAGATCAGTCGCATTGAATACATTCACACCAGAAATTTCATACACCGGGACATCAAACCGGATAACTTCCTCATGGGTTTGGGAAAGAAAGGCAATTTGGTGTATATTATAGACTTTGGTTTGGCAAAGAAGTATCGCGACAATCGCACCCACATTCACATCCCATACCGCGAGAACAAGAACCTCACGGGAACCGCCAGATATGCTTCCATTAACACTCACTTAGGAATCGGTTTGTCACGAATGTGTCCATTCATTAGGCCTCTTAATACTGACCACCCGTTCCCCTGATTTGCAGAACAAAGCCGTCGCGACGACTTAGAGTCGTTGGGATATGTCCTGATGTACTTCAACAGGGGGTCCCTCCCCTGGCAGGGCCTGAGGGCGGCCACCAAACGCCAGAAGTACGAGCGGATCAGCGAGAAGAAGATGTCGACGCCCATTGACGAGCTGTGCCGCGGCTTCCCGGCCGAGTTCGCCACTTACCTCAACTACTGCCGCGCCCTTCGCTTCGATGAAAAGCCTGATTACTCTTATTTGCGACAATTGCTAAGAAATCTCTTTCATCGCCAGGGGTTTACATACGACTACGTGTTTGACTGGAATATGTTGAAGTTTGTACGTATTGAACCACCCCTCCCTCCCCTCCCCACCCCTCCCACCCCATCCCACGTATTCCGTGTCGTAATCATGTGTTTGTGTTTTAGGGCGGAAACCGAGCCCACAGTGGTATAGAGGGGGCGGCGGAGAATCCGGCGCCGGGTGTGGGTCCGCAACAAGCGTCCCAACAAGTGGTCAATAATCACATCCAATCGCATCACTCGCACGCATTGAATTTGACCCGAAACGGCACAACTGTGAGCGGCGGTGGCGCCGGCACTCCCGGCAGCGCCACACCCGTCACAGGCGTCCCACAGGCCGTGAATTTCCCGCAAAGTAGTCGACGGGTTAGGAATAATTCAACGAATGCTGCGATCAATGCAAACGTCGACAATGGATTACATTCAGGTAATGGTTGATCACTATAGACATAATAATACCAGTGCTGTAACTAATCGTATGTCTCTCGACCCGTTCCCCTGACAGGCGGCGTTCAATTACCACCTTTTGTGCCTCATATAAACGACCAAACCATAGAACTTCATGCGCACCCGTGTCTAATACCATCCACTTCTAGAGGCGCTCACAGATAGGATTAGGATTACAATTTTTTAGCTTAAATTATCTGACATTCAACTCAACAAACAAATAATTATATAAATTTATGATAATTCTTATTATTATTATTATTAATTAAATATACAATTTGTATCGCAGTTATTATTGATCCCCCAAACCCCCTACCCCCTCGTATTCCCTCCGTATATACATTATATATATAGACCCCTTTAACGGCCATTCCTCGCTGTCCAGTAATAATCGTATGTTTTCTCGAATATCAATATACCGTAGGTTTTCTCATCACAAATAGGAAATCCTTTTTATAAAAAGAAATTCATTTTTAATTACAGAAAATACCAATTTTTAACATTGAATTTAACGCCTAGTCTTTTGAATATACCGTATAATATATTATATTTATCGAGATATATACCGGTATATAATTCTCATCACTTCTCTCTCCCTCTCGCCCTCCCTCTCCCCTCCCTCTCGACAAACAAATCAACAAATCATCCCATTCTATGATTTAAATCTTAATTTTTATCACATAATAAATGATTAATTTTTATTTTCTCTTCAATTATATGTAAAGTCTTTTTTTGTGTATTATTTTGCGATCATATGATTAAAACAATTGAGACATCGCTTAGAACTACAATTTTTGAAGTCTTTACTCGACAATTGTTTTTTAATTAAATAATTAAAATAAAAATTACGAATAAAATTAAATAATGAATAAAATAATTCTTATTATTTGTCAACAACAAAAAACTTAATAAAATTTAAAAAATATTTACAAATTGTAAATGACAATACAATTGTTTTTATGTAAATTTGTTTCGTTTATTTCAATAATGAATAGTTACGAATAAAAAATCAAATAATGATATGGAAAACGGGTTCAATATATTGAGTGCTCGCTATAACCGAGTTTATAGAATATAATATAAGTGTCCAGGCTAAAAAAGTAACAAAAAAAATTTCCGCAGTCGGCAGGATTCGAACCTACGCGGGGAGACCCCAATGGATTTCAAGTCCATCGCCTTAACCACTCGGCCACGACTGCAACACAACACATGCTATTCTAATGCCATTACAAATGTATAGGTTTTGAATGGCACTGAAAACGCGGTTTATTTAAATCGCTTTGAATTACAGGTATTGCGCGTATTGTGTGTTATTTGCCAAATACAGATACTGTTTATTTGATCAAGGTATATTATCTTATTTATGACACCACTATCTAAATGAGTGATGCATTTATTGAACGCATATCTCATTGATATCTCAATTCAGCACTTATTGTCTGTTAGTTTTGGTGACAAACATAGGCTGATAATCAAATGTGTTCACTTTCGCACACTTTTTACTAACTTAAGCCTTAAATGACTGATAAAATAGTAAAGCCTTTCGCGTTTGTCTTGATGCATTTAAATGTTCATTTGTGATAATCAGGGTATTTCTAAACATTAAGTTAAGGCACGATTTATTGAAATCTGACAAATGTATGGCCAAATCAGTGCACAGTTACTGAGACATGAATTTAAGGATTAATGAGTGCATTAATGGCAGTATTCATGAAATCTAATGTTAAACCCATTGATAGTACGTTTAAAGAGGATTAAAGGGTTAGATTTGGTGTAGGATTGAAACAAACAGGTATTGAATGCGGAAATACTATAAACGGGGGGCAGAGGGGTCCGGGAGTACGTGATTGTGTCGTGCATTGCATTCATAGGGCAAGGGATTGAAAGTTGAAAAGTTGTCAAATCAATGTTTGTATGACTGACTGACAATTACTGGATATTTGGTGAGAAATGAGTGCTAAATGAGTGATAGACCGGTGTATTGGTGAGTGTGAGTGCACTGTAGTGAGTGGTCAGCACGTATAGTACACTGTACTGTATTGTACAGTATATTGCGGTGAACTCACTGTCAATGCAATGCAATGCCAATGAGTGAGAGAGAGTTGATGTGAAGTGCGATCGTATGCTATCCTATGAGAGAGCGTACGAGTGAGTGGTGAGTGAGTGTATGCCTGAAGCCTATGCCTGTGAGAGGCCTCTACTATGCATTGGTTTGCAAACTGAAGCCAAGTGTTCATGCATTGAATGTATTGAAAAAGTGGTGACATTTTGTTTGCTATGCTTTGACTCAAACACAACACAACATCCAAACACAACACTCTTTGCAATCCAACAAAACTCAAACTTAAAACTCATTTCAATTGAATTGTGATTTGAATCAAAAGACAATTTTCGCGACAATTTGTAATATAAGCCATTGAATGCCATTATACTGTATATTCATATATCGCTAATTGTTATCAATTTGTACATTGAATGTCATTTTAGTCGTGAAATACATTTGTTTTGTGATCCACTCATCCATTCATTACTATAAGAAGTGTTAATCATTTGATTCATAATTTGATTCATAATTTGTTTTAAAAAATATCTCTTTTTATAGTCATTTCAAAAGTGATTTACAAAAAACAGACTAACATTTGACTCTAATTTATAAATCAGTTTTGGGTTTGTTTTGTATCCAAAGCATTGTGTTTTGAACTATGGATTCAAATGCAGATCATATCCATACCATTGATGACGATGACAAAGAAGTGCCTTATATATCATCACCAGATGATGCGAATGCCAGTA